TCTTATCCCAACCAATCACAGAAGACAGTTAGCCATAACACAGAAAGAATTGCAAATTTTTGCCATCACTGGGATTTAAACTCTAGACCTGCCACTTGGAGGTTGACAACCTATCCACTTTACTAGGTTGCTACATCCCTTAGTTGCCTCAGTTTTTTGTGAAAACTGAATACTGATATTAAATATATTATATATAAATTCTTTAGCCTATGCAGACTTATAAGAGTTCAGATTTTCTATAAGATAATCACTTGCATCAAAGTAGTTTTGAATTAATTCTGCCCAATAATGTTCAAATATTGGAATTGAAAGAGAATTACAGCATTGATAAAAAGCTTTCATAAAGCTATCAAATTTGTTGTCTAATTTTTCTTTCAGATTTTTTATTAAGTTTTGTTCTAAATGCCAAATACAATGAAGTAAAGTTGTATTGAAAAATATATCAGGAATAACAGAAAGCATAACCAGATTGGCATTAGTCATAAAGACATTAGGTTCAATATAGTTTGTAGTTTTTAATATACATTCTAATACCTAACAATAAGATTCTCTAGTTTTATTATTGAGTATAGCTTGAGCAACTAATCTTAAATTATAATTATTGTTAATACAAATAAATAATGATGGTTTTTTATTTTGATTAATTTTAGCAGTGTTATCATAAATAATTATATTATGATAAAGATCTCAAAAAGAAAGTTGATGTGACATTATTCAAAATAGGTTTGTTAATGTATTAGTTCTTTGATCAAACTTATATTCTATATATAGATTGTTATCATTAAGCCTTTGATTTAACAGATGTTTGAGTAACCTTGTTGCATCATCAAGGTTTGGGTCATTCTTATTATGAAATTGTTGTATTGCATTATAAAGGTCTTTTTTGTATAAAGTATAATAAGAATATAAAGCCTTTAGTAGATGATATTGGTTAGTTGCTTCTAGATAACCTTTCTGAGTATAAAATTTAATGTCTTTAAAAAGTGCCTAAGTTAATTATTGATATTAAGTACAAATTGTTAATTTATTGGATTTAAAATAAGATTTTTATGATTATTATCAAATGAGAAAACTTTTAAGTTATGACTGTTTTTTTGATATCAAATATGGATTTTTCAAAGACAATTAACTTAAACAAAATTTTTATTTTTTTGTTTTTCTGAGTTTTTGTTTTTTATAAACTTATATACAGAGGAATGTTAATACAAATATGTTCATCTACCATATTTTTTATTCAATTTTTTAAAATGATATTTTCAAATACTAAAACTATTATAATATGCAAAGGTTTTTATTGACTTATTAACAACAGTTTATGAAAAATATGTTATTTTAGTATATAATTATAGAGGTTCTAATAATAAAATATCTTTATCTGAATTCTAGCTATCACTTTTAGCAATACTTTTATTATTACATTCAAAGTTAGTTTTCATAGTCTTAATATCAGGTTTGCAAGATTTATTATTCTAAGTTTATTTAAAAAGTTTGTATTAAGTATTGTTTTACTATTATTGTTAATAGTATTTATAGTCTTATCTATAATGAAATAAAAATATATAGATGAATAAAGGCTACTTTTAAAAATAATGAATTAGTAATAATTTCTTATATGTTAGTAATTCTATAAACTCAATTTACTTACTGTATATTATAAAAAAATTATATTTTATAGCTACTTCTAATAAGATAACTTACAATTACTATATATTTTTAACTATTAATATATACTTTTAGTAAAGTATTTCATAATTGCAATGCAAAAACCAATGAATACTTTTCTAAAAGTCTTAAAGAATATATATAAGTGACAATATTACAATGAACTGATAGTTCTTAAATTAAAAAATTTTTAGATACAAGGTACAGCAAAGACAGTACTTGATTAAAAGAGAATTTCTCTTACCTGTGATCAATTACAAATTATATTATTTATGTTTTTTTTTTTTTTTTTTTTATTATATAATATCAAGTAGGAAAATAAAATTATATGGATATATCAATTGGATATTAATGTATAACTAATTGTTATTCCTAAACTACACTATTGTTGCTATATATTAA